TTACTACCTTCTTGACTCGTCAACTAGGAACAGAGTGCCGTCCAAATTGCCTATTCAGATCGGAACTGCTGTTACTGCCTTCTTGACTCGTCAACTACGAACAGAGTTCTCCAAGGGAGACTTCTGTTCCTACCTTTCACCACCAATATATATATATATATATATGAGTCGGTGAAACTCCGACGAAACAGTTTGTCACAGCCCCTCGTTTGTTGTCCTCTTCTCCCTCTTTGCCTACGGTTTACCGGGCAGTTCTATTTGACGATATATATATATATCGTATATATATATATATATCGTCACAAACAGAACTGCCCGGTAAACCGTAGGCAGAGAGAGAGAAGAGGACAACAAACGAGGGGCTGTGACAAACTGTTTCGTCCGAGTTTCACCGACTCATCAGGAGGCTGAACCCTATATATATATATGTATGTATATATCGTCATATATATATATATGCCCGGTAAACCGTAGGCAGAGAGAGGGAGGGAGAAGAGGACAAGAAACGAAGGGGGGCTGTGGCAAACTGTTTCGTCGGAGTTTCACCGACTCATCAGGAGGCTGAACCTTCAACAGTCTGCAGAATCCCCTAACTGATTACACTGTAAGTGATAATCCACCTTAACCCCGGCTGTGGTTAAGCATCAACGACTGCCCGACAACTGATACCCTGAGGTGGGCACCAACCACTGCCCTCAAGGTACCTGTGGCAAAAGTCAAAGCAGACTATCAGACTCTACAGACTGTCGGTTCACACCCCATCACAAGCAAGCAAAACACCCACGAAACAAAGAAAGGTCTGTCGCAGCCAAAAAATACACTCCAGACACGCCGCTGGCACTAGAGGCACATAAAAGCTATATTCGTCTCTCAATTTCACCTCACACTACCTACCCACCACTACTCCTATTTGTAGGCATACAGAGAACCCCGTAGCAGCGAGAACCGTGTTCACGAGAGAACATCGGTCAGCAGTCTGTCCATACTAAGTTACTATCCATACTAAGTTGCTAACTGATTAAAAAAAAATAAATCATCTGATACATAAGAATTCGTGACAAGCGGAAATGGGCAATAAAAGCCAATAAGTACTGAATTCGTTTTCAGCTGGAATCTACCCCTTTCTGTATCCCTGCGATCGTCGATCGTCGTTCCGAACGGCATCTCCGGACGCAAAAATGAAAAGCAGCAGTGACTTATTGTGAACTGGCCCACCCCTGTGCCTAAGCATGCAACCATTGGCCAGCCCCGACCACAACTTCTTTAACATCGTATGCGGCACAGCTCGGGATCCCCATATGCGGTACGACTCGGGATCCCCGTACGTGGTACAACTCGGGATCCCCGTACGTGGTACGACTCGGGATCCCTGCCATAGAATCTTCTAGATGGTCCGGTACATGTCTCACCGCCTAGATCTGGCCAAACCGAAGATGCTTTCTATGCGCAGCAAGACCAAACTGGCTCTCAGTGCAATGGACGCATGAACTGCTCCCAGCAGGTTGAATTTCGTCATAATCCTGTGCTTCGTCCTCCCAGGGCACTTACACAGGTACCGCCCTTCTCCCACCAGATGTGCCAGAAGATTGCCGACTCTCTAAGGTAGAGTGCCCTCTCTCTCCTCGCCAAGCGACGACTCTCAAGCTGGACTCGCTTCGACAGCAATTTCGTTAAAACGGACATTTTTTTTTTTTTTGGACGAAATTGAAGAATCCGCTCGAGCCAGGCCAAAATTTTGACAAAATCGAGGGTCCGGCGTTCTTAAAACGCCTTACCCCCTGGACTCCAGCAAGTCCAAATACGTCCAGGAGGTCCGGCATTCTTAAAACGCTGAACCCCCTGGACTCCAGCTATGTCCAGATACGTCCAGGGGGTCCGGACTGACTACACAGCCGTTCACACTGAGCACTGATCCTGCCTAGGAGTTTCCTCCGCCGTACCACTGCTCGCCCACCACTGCCACCAGGGCTACAGCCAGAGGGGGGGAATATTGTAGTAATGATACAAAATAATAAAATATTCATTTCAGAATTCTTTCATTTCATTGGTATTTTGAATATATATATCGTCTACCGGCTAACGGAGCGCACTTTGCAAAACGAACGGCCAAATGCACCAGACAAACATGAAGGGCACACTGAAAACATTATTTTGATCATTTCTCCTTTGAGCTCCCCCTTATGCTAATTATCCAAACCTGAAAAAAGAGATTGCCTGTGAGAAATTCCTGGTTCGTCGTTCCGATTGTAAAACAGGAAAAGTTGGAAAACTCAACAGAATAGCCATGATTTTGAATAACAAGAGACTGAGTAATTGTGAAATTAAAATCTTCTTGCCGCGTTGATGAAGTTGAGCACAAGCTGCCTCCATTCCCATGTGCCATAACGGCCCACGTGTACGCTGTGTGAGGACTGAGCCACTTGGCAACGCTACACAGAGGCCTGTTTGAGCAGAAATGGGGCCCCGTGGGAAGTTGCTGCAGTTCAGCATCTCCAACCGACCGACTGGTAGGGCCCAAGTCCGGACGGTTGAAGGTGCTGAGGCCCAGGGTTCAAGCAGTTTAGGCCCCGGGCACGTTCCAGAAGGGGCCCAGGGTGCAGGTACTGGGACAGGGCGCAGCCAGTCCAGCCAGGCCTAATGCCTTGCAACCAGCACAAAAGAGGGAGACGCTGCCTCACTCGGGGATTCTGGCTGGCTGGAGGCAGCAGCGCTAGCTCACGCGGATGAGCCCCAGGCCAGCACGGAATCCACCCAGTAGTGAATATTTGTTGTTAGAAGCATAACCTGCTATTAATAATCCCAGAGGAGTGACTCTTACATGTCCAAGGCCACGAAGTGGCAGCGGCGCCAGTTCAGTCTATTCAATCGAGTTGGATCAAAAAGAGTTGCAAACGCGAAGCGGTCTGTTCCACCAAGAGTCCATTCGATGGTGACCAAATTGAACAAGTGTAAGCTTCGCTACCCGAACGTTATGAGTACTGACCACACTTGGGGACTGATGGCGAGGCCACTGGGCCGTCAATTTGAGGTTTGGCGGTTAGCATCCCAAGGGACATGGAAAGAGAGCGGTCCTAGGTTCCAGAAAAAAAAACATTTGAATTAAGTCCATAGATTCCATACCATAAGAGGTGGGTGAGGGTGCTGACGGGCGTGAGGACGCCGCATGGCGCAGCGAGGACGGAGGGGGCAGCAGCCATAGCTGAAGGAGGTAGGCGGTGGGGGAAGGGGACTGTGAGGGAAGTCAGGGAGAGAGGAGCGGTGTGACGAGGCACTCACCTGGTGAAGCGGTACAGGCCCGTGCATTTGGAGTCTTCGTACCCTCGCTGGGCCGATGATCTTTCGAGCAGACCTGTTGTAGATATAGGAGTCCAGGTCATGGGAGCTGTTTGTCTATATAGCTTGGTCGCTGAGCGCCGCCAAATTCGCCAATGTAGGCGAGCTACATTGTTGAAACCTGGCGACTGGAGGCGAGAAGAGGGCTTTCATTATCATGCGAATTGAATGCTTTGCTCATACTTATTTGGTGTTATCTCGGTTTGCAATCTGCTTTCATTTCAGGCTGCTCAAAGTTATCTGCATCTCGCAATCTGGTTTATTATCATTCACATTGCTCATTTCCTCGCAATTTGGTATCAAAGCCGGTTCATAGGCCTACTCATTAGGGCTCCAACGCTATCTGTTTCGTTGGAGCACGTTGGTTGGTCCCATGAAGTTCAGGTATGATCCTGCTGTGCGGAAGATAGTTGGTCCCTGCGTAGAGAGGACCCAGATGGAGGCTGAGAAAATTATTGGGCGCATCATCCGTGTTGAGAATGAGATGACATGGCATTTGCATTGCATAGCATTGTCCGTGGTTCTAATGTCACGGCGACCGGTCGATGAAATGCACGTGGACAGCCGGTGAGAAATCTGTGATCGGGGGCAGCAGCATTATGAGGTGCGTTGTCTCGACCTTATCTACCGTCCTTTGTTGCTTCTTACCATGGACAATTTTTATTATTTTTCATTTTTTGAACGAAATTGAAACCGACTAATTTGGCCCGAATCCGTCCGAGCCAAGTCAAAATTCTGAGGAAACTGAGGGTCCAAGGAATCCAAAAGGTCTGAAAGAGGGCGAGAGAGGGAAAGAGGAGAGCGAGCGAGGGGGAAAGCAAGAGCGTTGTTATGGCCACTCAGTCAATCCCCTGGGGCTCAGGGCAATCAATGCTGGCTGGTGTTATTCTCAGAACCATCGATGTATATGGGACGCTAGACACGGTTTCCAGCAGGTGACACTCCCCACCAACAGATGGGATCGCTCTAGGGGTACTACCGGTGGTTGCTCTTATCAACACCACTAGCACCCACGACAGGTTTCTTCAAAAAAGAAAAACAAAAAAAAACCAACATAATGTCTTTGCAGATATTCCAAAAATCATCTAAATAGCAGAGCATCATCAGTCACACACACACACACACACACACAGAGAGAGAGAGAGAGAGAGAGAGAGAGAGAGAGAGAGAGAGAGAGAGAGAGAGAGAGAGAGAGAGAGANAGAGAGAGAGAGAGAGAGAGAGAGAGAGAGAGAGAGAGAGAGAGAGAGAGAGAGAGAGATCTGATATCTAATTTCGAAGTGCTTTTCATGCGATTATCAGATTATCTACTTTGGAGGTGCTTTCCGCGCAGAATCTGTCCAGTGTATGCAGGTCCAATTTTAATGATGTCCCAGAGAGGGACATTGCATGTCAGCTTCTTCCTTCCCTGGCAAGTATTTTTCAATCAAGTAGCCTTCTGCACTTGAAAAACTGGAAAAGTCTGACTTATGAATGATTTATATGCTTTCGTTCCTGGTGCAGCAAATAAAGGTAGAAATACTAGAAATGAAGCACAAGGAAGGACTGCTCATTTGGAAATTGTAACAGAAAAAAATTCAAAAAACACACTTGCAAATTCGGGAATCGAGATAATGTTCTCCCCAACCTGCCCATCAATGTAGCAGCTAACTTCGGACTCCCAAATCATTTTTCTGTGTTTTTTTGTTAACTCGCAAAAGTCCCAATTACAGACCACAGCGTCACATCCATCAAGTGACCGACTTGTACTGACAGATGAAGAAAACAAACAACATCACATCCATCAAATGCAAGTCCGAACAAAAGGACCCCGAGCCAAATGGAGTCCCGGAAAAAGACCCAGAAGAGTCAACACGAAGTTACGCCTGCAAGAGTCCAATTTCCGTTCAATCTTCAGATTCTTTACACAAAAGAGTTGTGAAGGTGCAAAACACATAGTCGCAGTCCGGTTCCAGTTTAAAACGATGGTGCTGGAGGCGTAAGAACTTACGGTAGGTAACTTTTATGCTCAGATTCAATGATCACGAGCGAGGACGTCCACGACGTCGCCCAGAGCCAAATGGAGTCCTGGAAAAAGACCCAGACCCAACACGAAGTTACGCCTGCAAGAGTCCAATTTCCGTTCAATCTTTACGCAAGAGTTGTGAAGGTGCAAAACATATAGTTGCAGTCCGTTCAATCTTTACACAGAAAGTTGTGAAGGTGCAAAACACATAGTTGCAGTCCGTTCAATCTTTACACAAGAGTTGTGAAGGTGCAAAACATAGTCGTCGCAGTCCGGTTCCAGTTTAAAACCACGGTGCTGGAGGCGTAAGAACTTACGGTAGGTAACTACCGTAACTTTTACGCTCAGATTTAATGATCACGCGCGAGGACGTCCACGGCGTCACCCAGAGCCAAATGGAGTCCTCGAAAAAGTCCCAGAAGAGTCGACACGAAGTTCCGCCAGCAAGAGTCCAAGTTCCGTTCAATCTTTACACACGAGTTGTGAAGGTGCAAAACATAGTCGTCACAGTCCAGTTCCAGTTTAAAACCACAGTGCCGGAGGTGTAAAAACTTACGGTAGGTAACTGTTACGCTCAAATTCAATGATCGCGAGCGAGGACCTCCACAGAATCAAGTACGAGAAAGAGGAAGAAATGGCATCGCTTTGCTATTTCGTCCTGATCCGTCCGTTGCCCATTTTATGAAAAATCTGAGCATCCTGAGATGAGGGTAGAGCAAGAAACACGTTCGTTGCAGGAACCACAAGAACAACCTTTATGACATCGATGATGAAGTCGCCAGAAACAACAACCCCACGAACAATAAAAATGAGGGCTGTCAGAAACCCAACCCTGCCCTTTTCCCTTCCTCCCACCTCTCACTAACCCCCCCCCCCCTCTCCCTCCCTCCCTCTAGCTCAATGCCCATTTCAGATACCACTACGTCAACCTTTATCCAGTTGTGAAAGGGAACAACCCCACACACTACACACATAGGAGCTACCAATACAGCTGAAGGCGACAGGCCCCCCTCTTTCCTCCCATCCCTTTACCTGCCTCTCCCTCAACCACAACCTCACAGACGGTATAAACGGGGGCTGTTTGAATCCCCGCACATACCTTCCTCCCTTCCTTTCATCTCGATGCCCCTCCTCGCCACTCCATTTCAAATTCAGTACACCAATCATCGAGGAAAACTACCCCACACACCACAGAAGATAAAAGCTATCAAGATGAACATCCCATCAACCTTTACAAAAGGATGAAGTTTCTAACAACGTGAGCGCAAACCTTCCCTACCCTACTTCCTACCTACCCATCCCTCCCTCTTCCCTGATTCACATTAAAACGAAGCACCCTACACAAAATCAATAACGCGCAGTGTAACGACCACGAATGCATTCCTCCCTTCATTCCTTCCTCTTGGTCTTCCTCCCTCATCGCGCCTTCATCGCTTCCCTCGTCTCAACCCTCAACCGAGTACGGATTAAGAATAATAGGCATCAGTAGCGGGACAACCAAGACCGACTCTGGCTCAGGCTTCGTCTTTAACCGCACTACTGCTCACCACTGCCCTGAAACCAATGAGATACATAATTGGCTAAGGTCATCCACTAGGTTCCTCCTTGCTCTCTCCATCACATTCTCTATCATCTGCAGCAACCATTCATTATCCGCAACTTCTCTACATGCAAGCCTAACCCCATGTGCCCTATACCACATTCGGACGCAACCCAACCTTCTCGGTCGCAGATCGCCCACTTTGCACCGGTCAGATGCCCTGCCTAATCTGCAGGAAACATTGAGAGTTGCTCCAACCCAGTCACCCTACAGACTAAAAAAATTATCAAACCTCTTAACAAGTGTCATCGATCGTCAATACACATCAAGAGTATTCCTCATCGACACAACATGCTTCCCCTTCATGAGCACCCAATTCACCACTTTCCCGAAGATGCCCTCAGCAAGCACATACGCTTTTCCCGATGTCGCTTGTTTCAGAAGGCACAACATGCTTCCCCTTCATGAGCACCCAATTCACATCTGCACCATACATCCCCATCACCTCCTCCTCCCACCACTCCCCCTCCATTGTCTCCTAATTGCTGAATCCAAAAAATCCTACAAAAGAGGATTAGATACAGGAACGGACAAAGAGTTTATAGACAAGACAAGCACTGTCGCTAGGAGGAGTAAAGGACAATGGCAGGTCTAAGTCCTCCTCCTCCTCCTCCTTCTCCTCCTCCTGCTGCTGCTGCTGCTGCTGCTGCTGCTTCTGCACGAATGCCGCGAACCGCTGCCACAATCCTCAAGTGCTGAAGTTCCGCGCAGAAGAGGAGAGGTGCTACAGGGCTTAGACACATGGGAAGGAAAGGCAAAACACAAAAACTCCAATACAAAAGATCCCACATCCTGCAAACAAAATGGCATGTTTGTCCACATAACAAAATCTAAAAACCTAAAATACAAAACCCATCCTGGCATCACGCAAGTCGAACAGAGACGAAAGTCGGCCATAGTGGTCTGGGGACCCCGTGTGGCGACAGTTCCCACTTAACTGATCAAAGGTACGACAGGGATAACAGGCTGTTGACTCCCAGGAGCTCATACCAATGAAGTCGTTTGGCACCTCGTCATCTTGGGGAACTTGCACCACCACCTAAAACCATTCCCAATGCAATCCCATGCCATGCATAGCATACCAGGCAAATATCCTTGTACGATTATCGCAAAGCAGCAAGCCCCATGACATGCCTGTCTTGTTAGGGCAATGGCTCTTGTACATTTCCCAGGCGATTCAAGTGGAGGTATGCATCAGTCCCTGGAAGAGAGAGAGAACACAATAAAGGCCACCCAGAACAAAATCAGCAAAGGTGATCGTGTCGCCCCGAACTGCCCGGTAAACCGTAGGCAGAGAGGGAGAAGAGGACAACAAACGAGGGGCTGTGACAAACTGTTTCGTTGGAGTTTCAACGACTCATCAGGTTTCAGATTAGAATATTCAAATTCATCTCCACCGCTTGTGCGGGCCCCCATCAATTCCTTTGAGTTTGGGAGAGCAGAAAATTATGGACGAACGTCATTCCTCCACCATGTATTTGCTGTTACAAATTTTTTTTTTTTTTTTTTTTTTTTTGCTGTTACAATTTCACCCCAGCATACCACTTGAGTTTTTTCMCCCCAGCATACCACTTGAGTTTTTTCACCCCAGCATACCACTTGAGTTTTCAAACTTCAATTCTCTTTCCTTTATCTTGAAATGGATCTCCTCACAGCTGCCATCAACAGCATTTCCCTTGTGATGCGCAGACCACTTACCTCATCGCCATCACATCACCATATGGCATATGCTCATCTGAATGGACCTTGACTAGTCTTTCACTAATGCAAGGAACCAACTCGTTTTCAACTCCAAATAGCAACTTGCATCATACCGAACACTCGCAAAATGTTCGCAGAAGTATCGAGATGGCAAATTAGCTCAACCAATATAAAATACTTCAAAACATTTGATATCATACAGGATTCGAGAACAAGCGCTTATGCCCGTTATCGCCAACAACATCCCATAGGTAACCTCTCCCTCAGTTCTCTCTCTCTCTCTCTCTCTCTCTCTCTCTCTCTCTCTCTCTCTCTCTCTCTCTCTCTCTCTCTCTCTCTCTCTCTCTCTCAACCTCACCCACTCTCCTCTCAACCCTTGAATCTCACACTCGCTCTCTGAATGCACTCATGAGTATCTCACTCTCCTATGTCAGAGCTATGGCTCCCGTCTTCCTCCTTGACAACCCTAGCTATGGCGCCGATCGCCCTTTGCCTTCATCAACCCTCCGACACATCCAACCCACTTCGTCACGCAAGGGATACACCAGAGATTCTGCAACATATGAATTGACAAGTGAAGTTAAATGGTACCGTAGCATCTACAAATAGCAGCATCCGTTGATGTCTTCTGCTCCAGAGGGACCAGTACCGATCTCCACGGCCTGTCAGCTGCAATTGCCAGTTCCGCAACTTACCTGACTTTCCAAGATGCTGCTGTAAAATTGGACTTTGGGACTTCGAGACATTTTCTGTTGGGTACCGGGCCTGACCTCTAACCGCCTACGATTCTGCCGGACCCTACTGGACTCCTAAAGGACCTATAGGACCACCTGTGGGACTGGGTCCAACCGGGACCAACTTGGGACTACAGGACTGCGACTCCGCTATTGACAAATCCTTTTCACTCCCACCGGCCTAATTTCAAGGTCCTCTGAGAAAAGCCCACCGTACGGGATCTTCTGCCGCCTCCCACTGCCTGATGTTTTCTACTTTTTTACCTTTGTATGTAAAGGGACGTATGACTTTGATGTTGCCCCTTCGTTCCCCCTCACCTTCTCCCATTACGATCTTCATCTGCATCTCCATCTCTATCCTCATCACTGCCCTCTTCTCCATCCGGTTTCCTCCGAGTACATTTCTCTTCCACCTCCTTCCAGATGTTCTCCACTATTCCCACAGGATACCCTTGGCATGTGTCATGTAGCATCCATGGTCCAGCATGCCGTCCCACTTGTCTATTACGGTAGTATTACCTCATCCTGGCGCCTGGCCAGGTTTTCCACAGTCACTCACAAGGCGTCAGTCTCATCAGCGAAATGGAGGGCCAGTCGCGAGAGAAGGGCCATGTCGGGGGATCTCCTGTTTCATTCTCTCCTTCACTTGATGTATCACTGCAGCCCCTTCTTGCAGCATCTTCTTCTTCTGCTCCAACCCTTTCTTTTTCTCCATCACTTGTTTTGCTTGCTCAAACTGCTGCTACTGCTCCGGAATCTTGTTCTCCTCCCCTTCTGCAGCAGGCTATGGCGGTGTGCACCACCCGGCCCTCCGCCTCGAGATATTACAGCTGACCTCTCAGGGTATCCCGCTACCGTCTTCACCCGAAAACAACGCCCGGGCGTTATATTCAACTTACCTTGAAAAGATCAGATTCTCGTTTTTGCTCTCTTTTCTCAAATAGAACGCCCCTTCGAATATAACACCCGGTGTTATATTCGAATCGAATGCCTGGGCATTATAATATAACACCCGGTGTTTTATTCGAATAGAATGCCTGGGATCGGCAGAGTGCCTTGTAGAGGTAGTATAGATGCGTTTGAAAGGGCGGGGAGGGGATTACACATGGGTTTTAAAGGGGGTTGAAAGGGGGTTTGACTTCCAAGGGGCATATTTCAGTTTGATTTTTTATTTTTATTTGTTATTTCCGAGTTTGAAAGGAATTCTGTAGTGACCCTCAGCCAAAAGATGGTCGCATTGCAATTCTGGACAACATATTTTTTTACAGAATTTTTTGAATTTTGTTTTTCGGAATTTTGGGCCCCCACCAAAGTTGCCACTAATTTACTGTATATAACGCCTGGGCGTTATAAACGAATATATTCGCATACGATGCCCAGACGTTATTTTCGGGTGAAGACGGTAGCCTCCTTAAACCACTGCAGGTGGTCCTAGAAGCTGACACCTCAGCTGTGGAAGGCAGGGTACCAAACTCCGCGTTTTCTTTGCCATTCCTTTCTTCTCCAACTGCTTCTCCATCCTTCCTTTTTTCTTCTTCTTTCTTCTCCTCTGGTTCTTCTTCCTCTTCTCCCTCGAAACTCCACTTTCTCATCTCCTCCTCCTGTCTCTTCCTTTTTTCTTCAATCCCCCTCTTTTTTTTCTCTTTCATCTGTTTTCTTTTTCTTTTCCTCCTCCACTCTCTTCTTCTCTGCCTCGTACCGGCTTCAAAATTTGATTCCCAAATCTCAAAGTTGCCTTGTGCACCCTGCACATACAGGAGAATCCTAACGGGAAGTTCTCAGATAAGGACAAGTCCAAAAAAGTGAACATCGAATAGTCATCTATGGCGATCGGAGACGCAACAGTTAAGTAACACTGCTCCGCCTCCTCTACACCTAGGACTTAACTCAACTTAGCCTATCACTTAGGTTGACTGCCACATACTTTCCCTTTCCCGGCTATGGCTGTCAACGAGCCAACCAGGAAGCGAGGGCAACGAGCCAACCAGCAATTTTAGGACTGCCAGCAACATCCTCACGAATTGTTCAATGCTGCAAACAGGACAGCCTGGCTCGTTGACACAAGTAAGGTTCACCTCTCTCTCCCTCCCTCTCTCCCGCTCTCTCACTTCACTTCTGCTTCTCAACCTCACTTGCTTTCCTCTCAACTCTTGGATCGCTCACACTCACTCTCTGAGTCTCTGCATGCACTCACAACTATCTCACTCTCCTATCCTACAGCTATGGCCGTCATCTTCCTCCTCCACAGCCCTAGCTATGGCGCCGATCGCCCATCTCCTTCGTCAACCCTCCGACCGTCCAACCCGCTTCATCGCACAAGTGATACAGCAGAGCTTTCGCAAAACACCAATTGGCAAGTGAAGTCAAATGGTACTCTAGCGTCTATAAATAGCAGTGTCAGTTGATGTCTTCTGCCAGCACCGGACCAGTGCCGGTCTCCACAGCCTGTTGGCTGCAAGATGCTGCTGCAAAATGGACTTTGGGACTTGGACAATTTCTGTCAGATACCGGGCCTGACCTCTAACGACCTACAACTCAGGACCTGCAGAACTGGGACCAACTGGGACTTTGGGACTGGGACTCGGGTACTGACACAACATGAGATCTTTTCGCTAAGAAGAGGAGCGAACTGCACTCTGCCCCTTGAGATAACTTTACCTTCGACAACCTTGGCTAGCCGGGCAGCATCAAGTAAAGCAAGTAATCCGACAACCAGGAGCCAGTCATCTCGACATCTGAAACATGGGTTGCGGAAGCCTAAGTAGGCCAAAACTCGGGAACCCTGCATACATAAAAGTCCAGAGACTTTCACAGAAAGAATCTGAGTCGTCCAATAGTTGAGCAATGCCCGGCACACATTCGCTCCCAGATACATGCAGCCCCAGCTGCAGACAACATTGCCTCCCCCGCCATTCTATTAGCACACAACACAACGGATCCCACCCTCTCCTCCCCATTGATCAAAGGCCCTAGTCCATCAAATATATCTTCAGGGCCTACTGAGGTGACTTATTACCACTTGCCGCCTACCGAGACAACTCGTTGCCGCTTGCCAGTTTATGCACTGAAGCAAACAGTGTTGCCTGATCCAGCAGATCCCAAGGCAAAGGAGCCTTCAGAACTTCAGAAGCCTACCAGCCATACCTAATACAGAGGAAGGAGGCAGCTAACATAGCTCATCAGAAGTGGCCAAGGATACCGACGAGGGGGAAGCAAGATGTTTCGTGGGGAAGACTGAAATCGGGAGGACCTATGGCTTACCCTGAGGTGGATGGAACTGGCAGCCAGAGCCACCAAACTGCTACAGAACCACTGTGTTTGACGCTGTTTTAACAAACCAGCACTTTTTTTTCCAAGCCTGGCCAGCCGAACCAAAACTATGTAGGCCTACTGATAGCAGCTGGTAGCCCCTGCACAAGGATGACACACACAAATCGAGAAATGGAAAAAAATGCGTTCGTTTGCCGCCAGTCGCTTGTCCCCATACAAAATCTTTTTGTTTAAATTGTTTAATCTTTTGAATATTCTTCTTGAACAGATGAGCACCCAGTTCTTCTCCCCGATATTTTTCATATTTTTTTATCAAAAAGTCACCAACAGCCCACGGACGAGCCTAACGACCCAACCCATTTACAGCATGCCAAGTCACGATTATGCATTTGGCGCATCTCCAGCTGTCCGGGGCACTGGTGGTCTAAATCACTTCTGAAATTCATGGATATGTTCTAGAGGCACATCCTGCTGAAGACCTACATCATCAGTCTTCTTGACACAATGACAGGTTCTTCTTCAGGAGGACCTCCTTTTTTTTTCTTTTTTTTTTTTGAAAGATTGTCTACATGTCACACAGAGAAAGAATGGACCACAACACCCCTACGAGAGAAATTGGTAAATTCCTTGGCATTGGAGCATACTCTGCAATTCAGCTGGCAACAGGAGGGGTCCATTTTTGCCCCTATAGTGTGGACTCGACATCATATACATGGGGCCCTTTAGCTCGTAGAGACCGTTTTTCATTCTGAGATGGTGACTTCAGTGGCGCACACACAAGAACGACACAGCTGCTGTCCACCCCACGCGGAGAACATAGAAACTGACATCTTTAGAAACCCTATCTTGAGATTCCAAGCCACTTAGCTGTGCAAAAGAAACATCCTTGGCAAGAATCTTACCGTAGCCCTCCATGGAAATAACTTGGAGGTCCCCTCCAAAGTAGCGTGCATACAGGCGACTGACTGGCAATCCATAACCGTAACCGGCCAGCACACTTGGGAAACCACCCGCCCTATACGAGGCCAATGGCGATGGCGCTGTGCTGTACAGATAAGTCCAAATCTTTGGCAAACCGCTCCGAGGAATGCCTCCACCTTCATCAGAAATCTGCCATGCAAATTTATGTACCAAGCAACAATGGCTCACAATCAAAAACAGCGTAATGGCTCGACTAGATTTCAGTAACAATCAACCACATAGCAAGCACCATGCCTCCCCAGTTCCAGGCAACAGCAACAGAGTTGTGACATGGGTTCCTAGTCATGAGCGCTATATGTTCTTGAAGGCATAACTTTCTTCCGGTGTCGAGCCACAAATCTGGAGGTTCAGCTGCTTGTGGTGCTATGCTCATGGATGATTCTTGCCACTTTCTCAACCAGGTCCGTTCTTTCTATCCATGAACATAGGACAGCTCAGGCCTTCCCTTGACCATTGGTACCATGGGTTCCGCCGTTAACCGACGGTTTTGGAGAGGTACATATTCGGAATCGTAGCCATTCACCCTTCTTCACTGGCAATTTAGTCGATCCAGGACATTGTTTCCTAACAGGCCACCGAAGCAGCGAAGATAAATCTTTATGCAACAGATCAAAAATTTGAATGCAATTGAATTCAACTTTGAAAACAGGACTCAGCGCTTTAAGCTTTGTGTGATGCAATGGCAGGAAAACTCTGCCCGATACACATGCTTAGTTGACCCAAACAAACACACAGACACACACACTGACAGACAGATAGACAGATAGACAGATATCTCTTATACACATCTAGATGTGTATCAGAGGACAGCTCAGGCCTTCCCTTGACCATTGGTACCATGGGTTCCGCCGTTAACCGACGGTTTTGGAGAGGTACATATTCGGAATCGTAGCCATTCACCCTTCTTCACTGGCAATTTAGTCGATCCAGGACATTGTTTCCTAACAGGCCACCGAAGCAGCGAAGATAAATCTTTATGCAACAGATCAAAAATTTGAATGCAATTGAATTCAACTTTGAAAACAGGACTCAGCGCTTTAAGCTTTGTGTGATGCAATGGCAGGAAAACTCTGCCCGATACACATGCTTAGTTGACCCAAACAAACACACAGACACACACACTGACAGACAGATAGACAGATAGACAGATATATAAATATATCGATATATATATCGTCACAAATAGAACTGCCCGGTAAACCGTAGGCAGAGAGAGAAAAAGGACAACAAACGAGGGGCTGTGACAAACTGTTTATATATATATATATATCATGTAGTCAAACAGAACTGCCCCGTAAGCCGTAGGCAGAGAGGGAGAAGAGGACAACAAACGAGGGGCTGTGACGAACTGTTTCATCGGAGTTTCGCCAACTCATCAGGAGGCTGCACCCTCAACAGTCTGCAGAATCCCCTAACTGATGACACTGTAAGTGATAATCCACCTTAACCCCAGCTGTGGTTGAGCATCAACGACCACCCGACAACTGATACCCTGAGGTGGGCACCAACCACTACACTCAAGGTACCTGAGGCGAAAACCAAAGCAGACTATCACTCACCCACACCAGATGGAAAACTCTACAGACTGTCCGTTCACACCCACGAAACAAAGAAAGGTCTGTCACAGCCAAAAAATACAATCCAGACACGCCGCTGGCACTAGAGGCATATATAAACAGCTTGTCACAGCCCCCTCGTTTGTTGTCCTCTTCTCCCTCTCTGCCTACGGTTTACCAGGCAGCTATATATATATTGTCACATTGTGAATCAGAGCGCAAAAAAGGGAAAAGAAAAAAGGAAAAGGAAAAAAGGGAAAGGGAAGGAGGTAAGGAAAGCTCCACCTGTTCATAACCTCTTACGTACAAGGCCAGCCACGTGGATGACAGGTTGAGCGCTGGCTG